CCCCTAGGCCCCAAGCCGGTCCGCCCCGGGCAGCTGGGTGCTGCCTCGCTCCAGTCACAGGCGCTGCTCCCCTGGGTCCCGGGCAGGGAGCCCGTGGCGGTCGTTGGGGCCTGGCGGGGTGGGGGGTGCAATGCGGCGCTCCCACCTGGCGCGGGGCCAGGACGGGCTGAGCTGCGGCGCTGGGCCCGGGCTCAGTAATCCAGTCACAGGCGCTGCTCCCCTGGGTCCCGGGCAGGGAGCCCGTGGCGGGGGTGGGGGCCTGGGGGGGGGGGGGGGGCCCCCCCCCCCCCCGCGATCTGTGATTAATGGCCAGCAAATCCTACCCTGGAGCCAGCGAGGGGGACCTGGGGCTGGGAGGAGCTGTGTTCCCTGGGGCAGGGCTATCACCTGCTGCCGCCGGCGGGGGCACTTCTGGGGCCCCAGCGGAGGTGCCTGGCAGCCCCCTGCGTGAGCCTTTCTCCTGCCCTCGGTGCCCTTGTTCCAGGGTGGGGGCGGCTCAGCCGGGAGCCCCCTGCCCCGTGCTGTGGGCTGCCTGAGGGGTTAATGCACCCCCACCCCTGCAAAGGCCTGGCCGCCCCTCCCCCGTGTGCGAAGTCCTGCCAGATGGTGCCGTGCTGCAGTCATCTGCTCACTTGCCAGTGGCCCGCTTCCCTGCCGCAGCCCTCCCAGGCCTGCTCCCCATGTGCTGCGGGGCAGGGCCGGGGGCATGGACACCTCCCTGCTCCCCCCATGCCTGTGTGGGGGACCCTTGGAGCCACTGTGCTGGGGAGGGCTCAGGGAGCTGTAGCCTGGTTGGGGAGCAGGGGGCACGGGGCTGTCCCTGGAGCTGCCCTACCTCCTGTACCTTGGCCTGGCATCAGGGTCCTGTCTCCCTGCTGCCTACAGTGGGTGCGTCCTGTGTTGGACTTGCCTCGTGCTCCTGTGTTGGACTTGCTCCTGGGCAGAGCAGCGTCTGCTGGTCCCTCTCCCCTGGGCATCATCCAGCGCTGGTTCATGGGGAAGCCTCTGGGGAGGGAGGGTGGGCAGCTGCCCGTGGGCAGCGAGAGCTAGGCCAGGGGCCACGGCAGGGCAGGCACAGCCCTGGGTCTCTGCCCGCACACACGTGTGCCTATGTCCATGTCCCTGGGGCTCCCTTGGCGCTCCATGTGTGCCCCCATCCCTGTGCTCCATTGCCCATGGGGAGGGGGTGCATGTGCCCACCAGTGCTTGTGCCCACATGCACGACACCAGGATGAAGCATGAAGGCAGGCGAGGTAATTAAAACTGACTACTCAAACTGCTCATTATGAGCCACTTTGTCACTAATTAAGTTAATTCTAACCTGCTGACGGCTTGTAGGCACCCTCCCTCCCCCGAGCGCCTGGTGCCCAGAGCTGCGCAAATGGGACTGGGGAAGCCCTGGTGCTCCACAGTATGGCTGGATCCTGGGTGAGGTGGGGGCAGTGCTGGTCTGGGAATGACCCCAGGGCCCCCCCAGGCTGCTTCCCTCCCTGCTCCGGCCTCTCCCCAGCCTGTGGGGGTAGGGGGGGGGAGCATCCAGCATGCCCCTCTTTCCGCAGCCCCTCCGCCATGCCCGCATGAGGGAGTGCACTGACGTCCTGTCAAAATAGAGGTCACTACAGCTACCGCCAAGGGAGGGACTTGCCTCTCTCTGCTGCTTGTTGGGCTTCGAGCCAAAGCCCTGTTGGAGGGATCTCTCTCCTCTCCTTGGAGCAGGGGGAGGGGGTGAGGGCAGGTCCCTGTGCCTGCCGCTTGCCGTGAATGGGACGGGGGAGGTGGCTTCGCTTGCTGGGACTATAAGAGGTGCCTTCCTCTTGGATAGCTGCTCTGTCCTTGCATCAGATATATGATGTCCTGCTCCTTAGCAGGCCCCTGGAGTGGGGCGGAGGGGTAGGGGGGTAATAGCTTGTATGGTGCTGGGGGGGTGCAAATATCTGCCTGAGGCTAGAGCTCCAGGTTTGCTGTCCCCATGTCCTGGGAAGGGTGCAGTAGCTAAATCTGCCTGCTGCAGTGCCCAGCACTGTAATACGTGTTGCTGCATTGAGTTGTCCTCTGTAGGCTTCAGAGTTAATGGCTGTCTGGGGTAGCTGGTCCCTCTAGGGATCCGTGCCTGCAGGCAACCTGCGTGTGCTGGGGTGGACCAGCTAGGGCACCCTGTGCTCCTGGCTGCTAGGCACTGCCCCTGTCTTGCGCTCACTTAGGGGGTTCATGGAGCGGCACCATGGCCCAGGGTAGGGTTGACCCTGGCTGTCCCATCCCCCTGCAGGTTGTGGCAGCAGCACGCTGAGCTATGACCTCTTCCAGCTGGGCTACACGGACATCACCAGCATCGACTACTCGGCCGTGTGCATCGAAGCCATGCGTGCCCGCTACACCCACTGCCCCGGCCTGCACTGGGCTGTCATGGATGCCCGTGACCTGCGCTTCCCCGATGGCAGCTTTGACGTGGTGCTGGAGAAGGGCGTGCTAGATGCCATGGTGGCGGGTGAGGCTGACCCCTGGCACGTGTCGCCCCAGGCCACAGCCCTGCTGGACCGAGTGCTGAGCGAGGTGCGTGGGTCAGGGCTTCGTGCTGGGCATAGCTGCCCCAGGACGGTGCTGGTGTCTCACCAGGGGTGAGGGCGCCATAGGGACTAGATGCCAACCTCTGGGGGCCTTGGTGCAGCTCCCTGGGCTGGGCTGCGGTGGGCAGTTGGTGCCCTTATAGAAACAGGCCTTGCATATCATGGCTGGAGGAGGCCTGGGTGCAGTCGGGCTAGGTTATAATAGGCTGGGTGTCTGTGGCAGCTCCTCCAGACATGGCCGTGGCAGGCTGGGCTCACTCCAGCCCCTTGGAAGCCATTGGCAGTCAGCAGTGGGGGGCCACCCAGCCTGCCTTGGGCCTGGGGCTCAGTATCCCTGAGGGCCCCTCTCCTGGCTTCCTTTCTTGGCCTCCCCTTGCAGGGGCTGGTAATAGCTACTGCGTCTCTTCCAGCCTCTGCAGCGTCCCCCCTGCCTCTAAAGGGGGTGAGGGGCAACCCCAGTTGCTCACTGCCCACTGGGTTCCTGGGGGGGTGCTTCAGCTGAACAGCAAGGTCTGGGACCAGATGCAACACCCGCAGCCTGTGCGAGCCCTCACGTCTGAGGCTGGGCCTCACATCTCCTGGGAAGGGGAGTCACTGTCATCTCCCCTTTCACCCTGAGCCACAGCCAGGGAGTCCCAGCCATGTTAGGCCAGGCCAGGGAGGCAAATGACAGGTGTGGTGGGAGGGAGGTTATGGGTGGTGATGGGAGGGGGTCACAGCTGGGTGTGGGGAGCATGGCAGGGGGCAGTGTGCTGGATTGAAGGCCGTGAGCACATCCATGTGTCAGAGAGCAATGCTGGGGCTGCAGGTTGGCAGCGAGGGGGCCTGGCAGTGCTGCCCCTCCCCATGCCCACAGGTCCAGCTCCCCAATGCTGCAGTTTCTGCAGGGGAAGGTGTGAAATTCCTGGTCCCTGTCATCGCCCATCCCTGCAGCCTGACTCATTGGGGTTGCCATGGTGACAGGTCTGCAGCATCTCACGCCTGCCTGCTGGGGCGGGGGGCACCGGGGAAGCCTGGGGTGGGGCAGGGGGAGCGCTGGCTGCATGCTGGGGTTCAGCCCTTGGCTCAAGGCTGGGGCGGAGCTGGGGGGCCACCGGGGCCATGCATGGCCAGGATCCTTCCCCGGGTAGCTGGGGGACCTGAGCGGGGTGAGGGCCCAGGCTGGGCCCCTGCCCTGGCTGCAGTGACCTTGGCTAGGCACTGCCCCCTGCTGATGCCCACCCCCTTGCTGGTTCTCCATGGGGCAGGGGCGCTGGAGGAGTGCCCAGCCCCACAGTCTGTCTCGCCCAGGGGTTCATGTGTTGTTGTCCTGTCTTGTGGGGGTGTTGGGCTCAGTCTCATGGCTTTGGGTTGGGGGGTGGGGGTGGCCCCAGCTTTGGCAGGGCCCCAGGGCCTGGGTTGGACTGGGCAGCGGCAGGGCAGGGCAGTGGGGACCGCGCCCCACGGGGTGAGCGGCTGTGCCCTGCCCCCAGGCAGCACCCGGTGCCGGAAGCCAGCCAGCCCCCACTCGCTCTCATTAGCTGGGGACCCCGTTGTTGAGGGAGATCTGCCCGGCTCGCTCTCCCCGGTTGCCATGGAAACCCTCGTCAGTATTGACTAGGCAGTGACGTTACCATGGGGATGGGTAATGCCTCCAGGCCCTTATTAATTGGCATGAGGGGGGAGATGCGACCACAGCAGCCGGCGCTGGAGTGAGATCAGGTGGGGTGGGGGCTGGGCTGGGCTGCCATGTGCCGGGTGCTCCCTGGCTGGCGGCAGGCCCCCCCCCTCCTGCTGCTGCTGGTTTCCCTCCTCCCTGCCCCTGCTTTGAGCTGGGCTCTTCATGGGCCGCAGTCCGTCCCCGGTGGGGTCCTCTCACCCCAGTCTCATCCAGCTCGGCTCTGCTACTGCCCTCCTCTCCGCCCCAGACCAGACATCCTTGCACCAGGGGCTGATGCCCGGGTCCCGCGGCCCTGCGGCTGAGAGCTCAGCCGTGTCGCTCGGGACCCTCCACACCTTCACCTGGTCAGGGTGGTCTCTGCTTCCCTTCTGCCACCACAGCCGGGGTCTCAGTGCTGGCTGGTTCCCGTGGGTCGGGGGCACTGCTCAGCCTGCTGCCCCCGGTGCCAGCTCCAGGGCTCATCTCCACGGGGAGCAGGGCAGCGGGCTGACAGCTGGGGGAAGGCTGAGTGCGGGCGGCAGGTCCCGGTGCCCTGGTACCCCAGAAGAGAGATCGTAGGTGGGTGACGGAACAAAGCATCCGTCAGCTCTTCAGCCAGTGCGTGCTGCAGGGATGGGAAGCAGCAGTGGTGCCAGGGAGCCCGGTAGGGGGTCAGTCATTTCCTTCTGGAGAAGACCACGAAGGCTCAGCAGTAGCCCAGCAGTGAATTGGTGATGCACAAGTGAATTGACTATATAAAAGAGCAGGCCCAGCCCCCACCCGGGCTTTACAGCCTTGCTGCTGTCTTTTGGTCTGATGCAGCTGGGGGCAGTGTGAAAGGCTGGGAGGGCAGAGGGATCCCTTTTCCGTTAGCCAGGCAAGGCAAGCTGGGGCTGGGCTGGGGCCCCTGGGTGGGGTGGGGTGGGGAGCAGCAGGGCAGGAGGGTTGGAGATGCACGCTTGCTGCTTGGTTCCTGCTGGCACTGCTGGTGGGGCTGTGTGCGTGCTAGGACAGGCCAGGGAGGTTCCTGTGCCCCTGTTGCCCAGTAAAGTTAGCTTGCAGGCACTGCCTGGGAACTGGGGGGAGAGTGAAGGGGCTCTTTCTGGTCTGATTCTCTTCTTGCCAGGTCTGGGCTTGGGCTTGCACTGGGGTCTGCCCTACATTTGTTTCTCATATTGCTGCCCCAGGGCCCCCTTGCCAAGCCCTTGTGGTTGCTGCCCCGTGGCACTGCCCGCGCTGGCTGAGGTGCTGCCTGACTCTGTCTCTTGGCCCAGCTGGAGGGATTTAGCTGCTAATCTCCAGCTCGATCCCTGCAGTCCCCAGCATCTCCCAGCTCCCTGGCCTTCAAACCTGGCGTAGCAGTATCCAGACCGCAACCCCCAGCTCTGCTGCAGGGCTGGAGCCTTGTGCGGGACAGGGACCTCCCTGAGTGAGGAAGCCCAGGCAGGGTCTGTCCAGCCCAGCACCAGTCCCTCCCAGCCCTGTGAGGTGAGGGGGAGGCCTTGGCAAGCGCAGCCATAGCCTGTTGCAAACCCTCCCCCTTCACTGTTCCTCCCCATGGTCTCTCTTGTCCACTCCTGCCCCCCACCCTGTGCTCCTCCAACTTCTCCCTCCTGGCATCTCCCCCCAATGGGATGGGACCTTCCCCATGTCTTTGCAGGGCCCCCACTCCTCAGCTGATGTTCAGGAGACCAAGAGTACCAGCCCCCTGCCTTGCTGCCTGTGTCTGGTTTGTCCCTGCCCTGCCGTCACCTTGTGGAACTGTGTCTGCCCCCAGGACAGTTACGTGGAGCCCTGGGATTGCTGGGGTCATTCCCCTTTCTGTGCTGTCAGGTCCAGGCTTGGCTCCTTCCAGCTCCGCGGTCTGGTTGACGGGGGGCTCGGCCTGGCTGCGGCACTGCTGCTCTGGGGAGGTGCGTCCTGGGGGAGCTGAGGCCAAGAAGACTTTGAAGCAGGGGAGCTGGGACCCAGGGGAGGTCTCTTTTCTTCCTGGCTTTTGGGGGAGCATGTTCCTAAGCTGGGCACTGCCCCCACCACCCCAAGTCCACAGGGCTCTGCCCCATCTCGGCCTGGGAGCCCATCTCAGTGTCTGCTACATGTCAGTGCCAAACCTCCCTGCCAGCACCTGGCTACCTACTTCGTGGGTGTGACCAGCTGCCTCAGCCCCTCTTGAGAGGGATGGGGGTGGTGTGCACACAAGCTGCTAGCTGGGCACTGGGGGTAGCAGTGGGCACAGAGCTGGGCATGTACGCACCAGCACCGACTCACACCCAGTGCTTGCTGGGGCACATGCCACTCTCCTGGCACAGGGTCTTTTGTGCTCCCGCAGCCCCCACCAGCCTGTTTCTGTTCCTGTCCCTGGCCTGGCAGCTGGGCTCTGGGTCAGGGTGTGGTGGTGTCTGTGCAGGCCCCAGGCATCAGCTCTCTGGGGCTGGCAGGAGGGGAGGGGAGCTTGGGGAGAACGGCTGTGGGGCCCTGGCCCAGCCCAGCCCAGCTCTGTGGCTCTTGGCTCATCTCTGCCTGTTGTGCTCAGCCCCTGGCTCCTAGGCACTAGCCCCACGGCTGCTTCCCCGGTGGATTGTGGAGAGCTCTGCTGAGGGGCGATGAAGGCCTGGTTGGGGTCTCGTGGGATCCCTGCAGCAGTAGGTATCCCCCTGGGTGCCCTCTCCCCACTCTGCCTCATGGGTTGTGGCTGCTCCTGGCCTTCCTGCTGCCTGAGCCTGGTGCAACTCTTGTGGGGTGGAAGTGGGGGAGGGCACGCAGGGGACCAGTGCCAATGCAGACCCTGCTTCCCCTCCCCTCCTTCCTGGGGCTCTTGGGAGACCCCTTCCCCTGCCCTGCAGGCGACTCTGGGCCCTGATGTAGTGGCCCCTTGGCTTCCCAGGGGCCTGGTGCTGGGGCTCCCTGCCCATGGTGCCAGGCCCAGTCCCACCCCATGCTCCTTTCTCCCTGTGGCTGGAGGAAGTGCCACCCCTCAGCCTTTGGCACCTCAGGCTAGGGTTCCCTGCCCCTCTTCCCGGCTCCCTCCAGCCTCGTCCGGTTCGCACGGGGATCCCAGCACCAGCCCTGATTCCTGGCTGGGGGGCTGGGGCTCCCCTGGATAGTCCTGCCCAGGGACTGAGGGCATTTGCTTTCCTCCCATCTCCATCCCAGGCCTTTGGCTCCTGGACTCTTAGCACTTGCCCTCTCCCTGCTGTGGTGTTGTGCGGGAAGGGTGCAGGCAGGGAGCTGAGGAAAGGGACTGCAAAACCTCCATCCATGCTGGCAAGGGGCAGAGACATGGGCTTGGGGCTCCTGAGACCAGCCCAAGGTGACACGGACCCAGGCAGAGCTCGGGCGCCCTTTCCTGCCGGGGCTTCCAGGCCTGTGCAAGGGAAGAGGTCCTGGCTGCTGCAGGGTGCGCCTGGGCTGTGGGCAAGGGGCAGGGTGAGCCTGGCACTTTCCGGCCTGGTGGGCTTCCACCCAGGGAGCCCCCAGATGCCCCCACTGGGAGCATGAATGCGGCACTGCCCCCCTCTCTCTGCTCCAGTCCCAGCACTGGGGCCCCCGTACCCTCCCTTCCCCTCTGTATCGGATAGGGAGGGGGTGGCCTGGCTGTGCACTGGGGGGGCGAGGGTGGCTGTGTGATCATGGGGGCGCTGCTGGAGCTCTGCTGTCTCTGCCGCCCCCGCCTGCTGCAGAGCCCCCTGCTCCCCTCCCCCCCGCAGCTCTGCAGCTGCTCCTGCCAGGCCGTGAGTCATGAGCACCGAAGGGCATCCAGCCCCCCCTGCTCTCCCTGCCTGCCAGGGGCCGGGGCAGCGAGTGCGGGGGAGTCCCCAGCCGGCAGCACGGTGCGGTGCGACGCGGTGTGGGGGGGCTCTGCCTGCTCCACTCTGCTCCGCCCCGTGCCCCTTAGCATGCTGAGCACGCCGGTGCTGCCCGCCGCTGCCTCTGACATTGGGCAAAGCCAGGCAGGAAAATTGATGTTCTTTTCCATCCTATTAGTGGGAGCTTAGTTCCAGCCAGGGGAGGATGATTAAAAGGGTCGAGTCCTCCCTGCCTCAAACAGCCTGGGCCCAGGCTGGAGGGCTGGGGTGGAGGGACCTGGCACTGGGGCTGGGAGTGGGGGAGAAGCCAGGGGAATGGGCCCCTCCTTCCCCCCTGAGGTGTTTCTGGCTTGCATGTAGGAGTCATGGAGCGATGCCTGCCCTGCCTGTGGGATTGGGCTCCAGGGGCTGCAGCCTTGGTGTGACTTGATGGAGCAAGTGGCTGTACCCCCAGCCCTGGTTTCCTGGTGGCTTGTAGAGCTTGGGCTGAGGATGACTGGCTGCAAGCAGGGCGGCTGGGGGAAGGTGGGAAGCAGCCCAATAGGTCACCAGTCTGGGAAGCCTCGGAGCAGGGGTGGGCATGGCCCGGGGGCTCTGGGGTCCAGCAGCCGGGGCCAGGCAGTCATGGTCTTGCTTCCCCTTGCAGGTGAGCCGGGTGCTGCGGCCCGGTGGGCGCTTCGTGTCCATCAGCTTTGCGCAGCCACACTTCCGGAAGCCGCACTACGCACAGCCGGCCTACGGCTGGTCCCTGCGCCATGAGACCTATGGCACCGCCTTCCACTACTTCCTCTACACCATGGTCAAGGGTCAGGCCCTGGCGCCCGCTGACCTGGCACTGGGCCGCAGCCTCCACGAACCTCCCTGCCCCACCGGGCCACCTCAGCTGCCACCCAGCCCCATGGCTGACACTGAGGACTTCCTCTACGCCATCGAGCTGTGAGGCAAGGAGCTGTGTCCACAGGGCTGACTGCAGCTGCCAGACCATGTGCCATGGGCCAGAGCCTGGCCCCACCTCTGTGCCTTGCCTGTCACTGGAGCCCAGTGCCCACTGGGACCCTGGTTTGGGGTTGGACTTTGCAGCCAGCTCAATAAAGCAGGTTTCTTTTCTGACGTCCCCCAGCTTGACCCTGTGTCCTGCTGCGGATGGATGTGGTGTGGGGGGGTGGTCTTTGTTGCTGGGGCTTTCTCACTCCAGTTTCTGAAAGGTCCCTGTGTCCCCTTGCCCACCCCAACCTGGGCTCCCAGGCTCCTCCCATGGAGGTCTGGCCTGTTGGGCTGCCCTGGGGCCCGGGGCACAGCTCTCTGGGGTAAAGTGGCTGCAGCCTGGCTGTTCCTGCCAGGCCCAGGCTGAGCTCTGCCTGTGTGCTATGAGGTCAGGTGGGATCTGGTATGAAATCTATGAGTAGCCCGGAGCCGTGCTTGGATTCAGCCAGTCCACGTGACATCAGGGTGTGGACAGGTGAAGGCTGGGCTGGCTGGAGCCCTGGGTTGGGGGCAGAGAGGTAGGTAGCAGAGCACCCCCACGATCCCTCTTTCCTGGGGCTGGTAGGGGGCCTCTGCAGTCAGAGGGGGTCAGAAGGGAGCCCAGAGCCTGGGCTGGGGTGGGCAGATGCCAGGACTGGCAAGGCTGCCTCTAGGTCAGGAGAGCACAGCCCCATTTTGTGAGACCCCTACGGTTGCCCCGAGTGCCCAGCTCGACACTGGGGGTGGCACCAGAGCCTGCAGCCTCTGGCCCTGGCCTTGCTGCCAAGAGCATTGCCCAACATGCAGGCTCTGTGGGGCACCAGTAGGCACCAGCTCCAGCTTTGCCAGGGGCTCTGGTCTCCAGTGAGCTCCCAGCCCAGTGCCTTGGTTTGTCCCCGCCTGCTGCCACCCTCAGCTGAGCCTTGCTGGAGTCTCGCCAGGCCCCTGCACTAGGTGGCTGGTAATGAAGCTGCCAGAGCATCCCTGAATCATTCATTCCCTCCATCTATCCTGCACGCAGGGGAGGGGCAGGAGCCTGCCCTGCAGCTGCTCACAGGCCTCCCGCAGCAGTGTGGGGCAGCCCTGGCCTCAGTCTGGCCTGGTCTGGCAGGGCACGGAGGGGGCCAGCACCAGCCCCTCCACAGATCCCCTCCACCCGTTTCCAGCACCCCTGCAGCAGGGGGAGAGCTGGGCCAGGTCAAGGAGAGGCTGGTCCGGTGGGCACCCACTGGGAGGGGTCCTGCTGTCCCAGAGGCTGGAACCCCTCTCCTGACCTGAGCCAGACCCAGACCCAGACCCAACCTGGCCCCGGGGGCTTGGGCCATCCCCCCCTCCGGCTGGATCAATGCGCTCCCCTGTCTGGCGCCCTCCAGGTGGCCCAGTCAGCACCCGCACATGCAGGCCTGCACCTGTGCAGCTCAACGGAGGGGGGCTTTTCCTAACACAGGGAAAACGGGGCTGGGGTGCCCGGGGTGTGCACGGAAACGTGGCAGCCCCGCAGCCCCACTTCTCTGCCCCCAAGCCCCTGGGCAAAGCAGGACCCGCACCCCCATCTGCCCCTGCGTGCTCCTGGCTCTGCTGCCCGGGGGCCAGGACCGGGGCCACCATGCAGGGCGCCCACGGAGCTGGGAGCACGCCGGGGCAGCGCCAGCTCCAAGACACGCTGGCTGGCTCCCGCCGTGGCTCACACGCACGCAAGCACGCTCACATATACACGTGTGCACAGACATGCATGCACACGCACGCACACGAGCGTGTGCACACCCGAACATGCACACAGTGTGCAAATGCACGCCTGTGCACGCGCGCACACCTACACATGCACGCACACCCACGCGCGGGCACACATGCACACGCACAGTTACACACGCGCATACACACACGCAGGCACAGAGGCTGAGCCACCCAGACCCTGTGCCCACATTCCTGCCAGGCTGAGCCACCCAGACCCTGTGCCCGCAGCCCTGCCAGGCTGAGCCACCCAGACCCTGTGCCCACATTCCTGCCAGGCTGAGCCACCCAGACCCTGTGCCCGCAGCCCTGCCAGGCTGAGCCACCCAGACCCTGTGCCCACATTCCTGCCAGGCTGAGCCACCCAGACCCTGTGCCCGCAGCCCTGCCAGGCTGAGCCACCCAGACCCTGTGCCCACATTCCTGCCAGGCTGAGCCACCCAGACCCTGTGCCCGCAGCCCTGCCAGGCTGAGCCACCCAGACCCTGTGCCCACAGCCCTGCCAGGCTGGGCCACCCAGACCCCATGCCCACATCCCTGCCAGGATGAGCCACCCCCACCCCAGCTGCCAGGCTGGGCCTTTGCTTGGTGCAGGGCTCATGGCTGCAGCTTCCCTGGCCCAGGGGTCGAGGCTTTTCTGGCTCTTACCCCTTGGAAGCCATTGCTGGGCAGACACAATTCCCCTCCAGCCCCAGGCACCAGATGGGATGGAGACAGGGTGGTAGGCACTTGGGCACTGCCACAGCCTCAGGCTGGGGGGTAGATGGTCTGGGCAGGGGTCGGGGCCCTGCTGTGCTCAGGGCTGTACATGGGCACCCCAGTGCCCTTCCCCAGAAGCCGACAGCCTTTGGTGCCCCTCTAGTGTGTGCAAAACTTGTGGGCATGTCACAGTGCCTCCCTCACCGCTGTCATAGGGCAGGGCTCCCTAGCAGCTGTAGGCTATGAAGCTGGAGTCCCCCGAGCAGAAGGGGGCTGCTGGGCACGGGTCAGCTCTCATCCCAGCCCTGCCGGCCTGGGTGACACCACCTGCCAGCCCAGGGAGCCCAGCATGGAGAGTCCCCCTCCTGCCCACCAGTAATGCCTGAAGAGCCCCTGCCTGTGTCAGACCTGATGGCACAGGAGCTGAGGCAGGCAGCCCTCTGCTCGTGGCACTGGCAGGGAGATGGGGGTGAGGCCTGGCAGTGCCACATGCCTCGGTATGGGGCTACTGTCTAGGGCCATGTGGGAGGGAAGAGCCCCTTGGGGTGGGGCAGTACAGGCACTACCAACTGTCCACTGGGCCCCATGCAAAAGCAGGGTGAACCCCTGAGCTGGCATCATGGGTGGGAGGAGAGAGGAGACGGGTGCTCTCAAGCTGGGAGGGAAGTAGGCTGCCTGCTTGGGCCTAGCACAGGACAGAGAGGGGGGCAGAGCCGTGGCTTGACTGTGATGGGTTCCCAGGGACCCTTGGGCAGCCAGGACCCCTGTGGGTGTGTGGGGGCTGTCCCCGCCCTGCCCACTCCTGTCATGCCCCAGGCAGGCAGCTCCACAGCCCAAAAGAGCCTCCTGTTGGGAGCTTTTTTCCCAGGTGCCATTCTCACCAGCTTCCCAGCACCTAGCCTGGCCTGGCAGGGCAGTGTCTGCAGAGTGCCCTTGCCCAGTTTCCCCAGGGCCAGGCAGCCATGGGCCCTGGTAGGACAGGAGTCCTCTTCCAGCAGGGGGTCTCGGGCAGCAGTGCCTGGCCAGGCTCTTGCTACAGTGATCTGCCCCGGAGGAGGGTTCACTAACCTGGCTGTTTCCATCCAGCAGTGCTGAGTGGCCTCAACCCTGGAGCAGCCGTGTTGGGCCAACTCCTCTCCTCTCCAGCTGCAGGGCTGGTGCTGCTTGTGACCGCTTCCCTGCGGTGGAAGCCATCGCAGCTTCCACCTAGGAGCTGCAGAGACCTGTGCCAAGAGCAGCCCCCACGGCTGGTGCAGGGGCTTGTGGCTGGAGAAGACAAGGCCACACTGGGATCACCCTCGAGCCCTCCCCTGGGAGCTGCATGCCCGATTGCTGCCAGTCTTGGCTTTGGAACAAGCCCCAGGCCCTTCAAGGGCCTCAGCCCCTACCCAGGTACCCGCTGTGATCTGTGTGATCTCTTTTGGGGTCCTTGGGGAAAGGCCCAGCCTACAAGGCGCCCTTCCCTTGTGTGCTGCTTCCACCGGGCTCTGCTCGGCAGCCCACCAGGGAGCCACTCCGGCCCCTGCTTGCCTGGCCCGTGCTGTGAGTCTGGCAGAACAAGGCAAGGGAGGGGCTGAGTCCCCCCTCACCCTCCTTCTTTCCAGGGCATGTCTGCTCCAGCAGTTGATCTCAGGATGCCCCAGGCTTGTCTGGCACGTTCCCAGCTGCATCCGCGCTGTCCTGTGTCCCTGAGGCCGGGGCTGTGTTCCTGGTGACTGACTTGGAGCTGTCTGGGGTGAAGGCCCCCCCGATCTGAGCCGGGCTCATGGGGCTGGAGCAGGGAGTCCTGTTACCTTGTGCCCTAGCCACAGCTCTGCACCAGTCCCCGCTTGGACCCTGCGCTGGTGCTGGGAGCTTGGCAGGCCTTTGCACCCTGGTTGGGGGGCATTTGTGTACTGGAGCTGCCCCGTGGCCCTGGTTGTAGCCCCCCCTCCTGGGGGTGTTTCCTCCCTGCCCCCCTGCCTGTAGGGGTGTGATAGGCCATTGCACCAGCCTGAGGCCTCTGCTCCCAGCCCTCCGCTGTGTAGCAGGAAGGAAGGCAGCCCCAGCACCCAGCTCTGCTGCAGAGCTGACCTGGCTTTCCCCTGCCCACAAGGTTGGGCCAAGGAGACAGCCTTCAGCTGGTGCCTTGTGGTGAGGGGCAGACGCGGGGCTTTCCTGAGCTCCGAGCTCCAGCCTGCAATCCCAGGGAGGTTGGGCATGGGGATGGATCTGGAGGGGGCCCAAAAGGGGTGGATGGTGGCAGGGTCCCCATTCTCCGCCTGCTGCAGAGGCTGGGAGGGAGTCTGGGTGGTCCCTGCTCAGAGGCCTTGCAGAGGGGCTGGGATCCCAGGGGATCCCGGCTGCCATCTCCATGCAGAGGTCTGGAAGGGGGCCTGGCTCTTCTGTCATGAAGGTGGCTCTACTCCTGCCAGCTCCACCTGGTGCCGAGAGCCCAGGCTGGCTTCAGCTCTCCTGCAGCCATGCACGCAGCATTGGGAAGGTGAGGGCACAGGCCGAAGAGGAGGTGGGGGGCCGTGGGGATCCGTGCTGTGCCCACAGGCTCCCCACCTTGCTCTGCTGGAGGATTTGCCGCAGGCACAGAGATGCCAAGCTGCAGGGAGCTCACCAGGACATGGCCATGGACACCCAGAGCACCTCTGGGAGTGGGGTGGGGTGGGGTGGCAGCTCAGGCAGAGATCCAGGGCAGGGGGAGGGGGGTTTGTGTGTGCACACTCATGCACTTCCATGCCTTTGCGGGTCTGCCCGTGACCCTTGCTCTCTGTGCAGATGCACGTGTATGCAAGGCTCTGCACGTACAGGTCTGGGGGCATCCCTCACCAGGTGTGGGCACCGCTGCCATGGATTCATGTGCCTGGCCCAGGAGCAGGGCCGCTCCATGCCCGTGTGTCTGTCTGTGCCAGCGGGGAAGCCTGTAGCTGGGGATTGCGGTTCCCACTCCTTCCTGGTCCGGCAAAGTCAATTGATGGGGAGAAGCATGAATGAAGGCCAAGGCCTGGAGCGGGAGGGAGGGGCTGACCCCCAAGGGCTGCAAAAGGGGAAATAACCCCCCTCCCAGCCCCTGCCAGTGCCACGGGTGTCTCTCCAGTGCCCCCCACTCCATGTAGGGCTCAGGGCTGGCCTGTGTCCAAAGGAGGGGAAGACTGCTTGTGACCCCCCAGTGTCCTTGGATGCCCCTTCCTGCCAGCCCCCTCTGTCCAGCTGCAGGCACAGAGCTGCGGAGCCCCCCCCCCGATGCCACCATGGGCCTGCAGGACTGCTGTCTCCCCCTGCTGCCTGCCACGTCGCTCCCTCCTCCCAGGGGGGCAGGGGCCCCTCCACCAAGAGGCCCCGCTAGCGTATTTACCGTGAACAACTGGCTCCGCTGCCTCATTCCCGTCTAAAGCAAGAACTAGGTCAGCTGGTCCCTCCCTCCCCCTGCCAGGGAACCTGCAGGGACCCGGGTCTGGAGCCCCCGCCGTGGAGCCCAGGGATTCACCCGCCTGCTCCAGCTCCCAGCAATGCAGTCACCTCCAACAGGGACAGGGCCACTGCCAGGAGAACAAAGACCCACCATGCCTCTCTGGGGCTCCGGGCCCTGGAGAAGGTGGTAAAGCCCAACAATTGCCCCAGAGCAAACTGTCCTGGTGCAAACCCCATGGGCAGCCTCCTTTCCTGCACCAGGGGTTGGATCCAGCCCCTTTCAACTGCTCTGGATAGGGAAGAAAGCCCAAGCTGGCTGCCTCTGCTCGGTACATGTATGTATTTATTCATCAAGTTTTGTTCACCAATACAGTGAAAAATGGCATTAAAATTTACAATGGATCATTCTCAGAATGTCATGGCATTTTTTTTTCTGATTTTTTTTTTTTTTTGCTTCATCTTCATAAAATGACACCGTATAATGTTGAAAAGAGGACAGGTTCTCATGCACGTCGGACCCGGAGAAGCTCTTGGAAAAAAAAAAAAAAAAGCAAAAGGAAATGAAGGTCCAAAATTAAAAACACCGACTCTGAACCCCCTCTCCCCAAAAAGGGGCAGCAGTGCCCAAGCCCGTCAGCTCAACCCTTTTGTAGCTGGGTTCCTGCGAGGGCCAAGCCCTGGGTCACAGTATAGGAATCTTAAATACATTTAATTTGTGTGCAAAACCCTAAACACATTCAAGAAGTCCCGTCCGATCCCGCTCTGGCATTGGAGAGAAATGGGCCGTTTTCTGACGGCCCCGGTGGATCTCCGCTCTAGACACCTTTGGGAGCGCATCTCTTTCCTTCCTCTCATGGAAAAAAAAAATAGGAACCATCTTTGATGCAGTATTTGGACACGGAGCAGATCATTGTTAACAAAGATTCGGATATAAAAATACAAATATGAGGAGTTCTGTTTAAAAAGAAGTGAGCCGTAGTGAGATGACTAGTGGCACCGAGACGTGGCACCAGACCAGGAAGCTCATGCAAAAAAGATGGAGCAAAAATGTCTCTCGACAGCAAAAAGACAATCACTGTCTTATATAGAAGAGTCCCTCTGCCTTCCTTTCCGCCCTGCTGGCTTCACATTTGCTTCCCATCTGCTGGTATCTTGCAAACTGGATGGGGTCGGGGGATGGGGTGGAGGGGGGCTGAGATGGATGGAGGGCTGGGGGGAGGGGGGTGATGGCACTCACCGGAGCGTTGAGAGGGATGTGTGTGTGTGCAGGTGTCCCACAGCCACCCGGAGAGACAGAGAGAGGGGTGTAAAGTGCATCATCGCTAGAGGAGACCTCTTCAACAGCGCGCCGGGGGCCCCGGGGCTCCGAGCTCCCAGGGAGACAGCACCTTGGCAGCGTGGCATGGAGTCAGCCTAGGCAAGGGAGCGGGGCTGGGGTGGGGGGGAGCCGGGGCAGGAGGGGTGGTGGGGAGCGGGGAGCTCCCTGCCAAGGCTGGGCTGGTGCTGAAGAGGACAGCCCCCAGCCGAGGGCACCGCCGGCACGGACAGCTCCCCGGCCGCGGGCAGGAGCGGCGGGCACAGGCGGGTGCCAAGGTCCCTTTGCTCTCGGTCGGGTGCGGAGGAGGGTGAGATGGCCCCAGCGGCCGCCGCCTCGGCCGGGGGCGGGGGGGGGGTGGAAGTGGTGTTGCCAGCAGCCTCGTCGCCTCGCCTTCGCTTCCCTCGCTCCACAGTCCACCAGACATGCACAGCCCAAAGTGCTTAAACCCGGATCAGAGTCTGCCGCTGGGTGCAGGCGCCCGCCCGCCGGCTTATACCCCCGCCGGCGACTTGTCCGTCATGCCCTTCAGCACCTCGTCTATTCTATCGTCCTCGATCACCACTGCGGGGAGGCACAAGAGGGTGGTCAGGGGGCTGCGGGGCACGCGGGCACCCTCCACCCCCGGGGCTGGCACCGCTGGGCCGGGCCCGCTCCGAGCCTCTGCGCGGTCTCTGGAGCCGGCGGCGGCCGGAGGAGCCCACTCGCGGGCACGGGCCATGCCAGGGGAGCACCAGGCAGGGAGCGAGCCCGGGCTGGGGGCTGTGCCCAGGATGGGGGGGCTGCACCTGGGCTGGGGGTGTGTGTCCAGGCTGGGAGGGGGGTGCACAGTGCCCGGGTGGGGGGTAAGGGGGCTGTGCCGGGGGCCCGGAGACGGAGACCCCCGTCCCTCTGCGGCAGGAGCCGGAGGCGGGGGGCGGGGGCAGCCCCCGAGGGGGCTTTACCTCGCTTGGCCCGGCCGATCTGGCCCAGCTTGGGGGGCCGCTTGGCCTGGTTGCCGGCGAAGAAGGAGTTGGTGTCCTGCAGGCGGCAGCTGAAGGAGATCTCGCTGACCTCGGCGTCCGCGCCGTAGCGGACCTTCTCCTCGCTGTAGGGCAGGATCTCGGACATGGCTGCGGAGCGGAGCGGAGCGGAGCGGAGCGGAGCGGCG